TACAGTTATAATAATCATAGCTGTAATATCAGGTGGTGTACATAATGAGCATATAATAGCTATGATTATAATAGCTTTTCTGTTTATGATATAGTTAATTTTTATTAGATTAAAATTAACTAGGTATGATATTAGACTGATACATACAGATATTATGATTGTGAACACAAGGAAAACATTTAAGTAGTGGAGGTACATGTTTGCTGAGGGTATTATGTTAATTAAGTTATAGTTATTATTATTTATTATTTTGTATATTTGATATAATAATATAAATAATAAATAGTATATTATGTAGTACATATAGTATACTAAACAGAACTGGTTTAAAATCCTGTAATATACTTTTTTGAATTCTATAGCTGTAACCATAGGCTTTATAAAAGCATACATTATAACAACAGCATATGGTGCTATAATATAGATTGGTAGAATAAGACTCAAGCTAAAGTAGCTGTATAATAGCTTCATGAAATCTGTGGTTAATAGTGTATTATTCACCATTTTCCAAGTATAGAGATTTAATATAAATGATGAGTTATAAAATGTAATAAGAGACAATAAAAAATACGCCAGAATTAAATAAGCCATCCTCGCTGAGACTTCTTTTATATAATAATAATATAAAATAAAATTTATTTTAAATTTTTATCACTGGTAGCCATATAAAATGTTAAACATTCTTATAAAACAACCCAATATAACTAATTAATAATAAAGCTAAATATCTCACAAGAATAAATACCCCTAAAATCTATAATCATAAGCAATCATAACCCATAAAGATTCAAATAGACTTATACAATTTGTTAAAAAATAACCACCTCAGCTAGCCGAGGCTCTAGTTCATGATCAACCTATTTAGTGATGTACCTAACTTAAAATTAAAAATCTTAATAGATTCTTAATAATAAGAATTTGAGTAAGCCGATGTTTCTAAGCATATCTAAATTTCTCTTTATTTTATAACAATAGGACTTTTAGAAAAATGATTCTGATACTTCATTTTTCTAGGGTTTAAAAATACTATATTTTTTTTTAATCAAGAATATAGTATCTAGTTTATAATAATATATTCTTATACTAGTCAAATCTAGAATATTATTATATAGAAATAGCACTAAACCCCAATAGACTACAAGACATGAAGATTATAAAGGACTACATTACAAACCTCCCCTATAAAAATAACATTTTAATCACAATGTAGAATTTATCAAGGACTAAATATAACTATATTTACATTCATACTGATAATTTGTAAATAAGTCAATATTTACATAATTATGTAAATAACTTATTTACATAAGTTATTTTATAATACCTCTTCTTTCTCTTGTAGCCAAAGACTAGAGCACAGATAAGTACCATATAAACTACTATTTCAATATTAATAGAATTCAATTCATAAACTTTGGATTTTATAGCTAAATGTCAGCTTCTTTCTATTTTTAACAACATGATATTTCAATATTAAGATTACAAAGTAAAGGATACACATAGTTAAGCTATTATACATAATATTTAAATAACAAAAGAAGATAAATTAGACTACAAACCCTATGAATAAAAAAAAAAAAAAAAACCTTATCATGATCAGTTAAACATTACTAAACATTATTAATATTGAAATATCAGTAGATATGACTAGAAAAGACTAATATAGTTATTTATAACTATATCACATATAAAAACTAAAGGATATAATATAACATCCAGCAAACAAACATACATATAAACTAACTAAGCCATTCAACTTTGAATAACTCTAATTTTTTAAATTTAGAGCTAAATTTAAAAATACTAAATTAGTATAGATTTTACTCTATTTCATATACTCATAAAACCTAATAATTTAAAAAGGTAAGTACTATACATCATTAATAAAATGGATAATTTAGTACTAAATTATCCAATAAACACAATTTAATATAAAAAACCCCCTAAAAATATTATAAACACTACCCACCACTAAAGCACTACTGATTTAACACTAAAACTTATAAATTAAAACAACCTTAACAAGACAAAATTAAATAAAACATTCTAATATAAATTTTATAAATAATCATAAACTAAATCGGCCTGTACAGGCCTGGACCAAAAACCATACACTCCATCACTGAACAACAACAACAAAGAATTATGATACAGGCAAGGGACTCGAACCCATTCACAGGTTTTACCTGCTCTTTCCTAGACCTGAAAAAAAAAAAAAAATTATTAAATGTTTTTTATTTAATAAATAAAAATTCCTAAATAGGAATTTTTTATATAGTATGTCTGCATGATTGATGAACAATCAATTATAATTGATTAACTATTAGATAGTGAGACTCTATTAAGAGTTAACTCTATTAATTCTTTCATATTTTATACTTGATCTACACCAGCCCTTGTTTCTGGCTTATTTCTATTAATTGCTGCAGTATTTTCACTTAACTATAAACCTCTTAGAGTAATAGCCTTAATAAAACTAATCAATGTTATAATTGGGGATATACAGTCTTTTACATGGCCTATGAATTATCATTTTTATTACTATCACTTAATAATTCTGGATTTTCATCCTTTATAATTTTAAAAATTCTTTCTTTATTAAAATTTATAAATTCATCAGAGTTTTTAATTAAATCTAAACTCTGATAAGGAATAGAGAGTTTTTCTTTCGCAACCATACCAAACTGTGGCTTTTGCTGACCTACTAAATTGGATTCTTTACTTATCAAATTTGCAGGGTTCCTGGCTGTTGATACGCTGGTACATTGCATTAAAATAGTTAGCCTATCTACTACCTTTTCTGCTGAATCACCGTCTTTTAATATAAAGGGATGGTTTACATCCAGCTTTAAAGGTTCTAAAATTGCTTTAAAGTCTTCTCTTTTAGAATTTTTAATAAACGCTCCACATAATTTACTAGAACTACTGATTGAATAAGACCTTTTTATTAAATTACTAATCATATAATATATTTACCTGTAGCTATTAAACCCCACAAAATAACCCTACATAAAATAAGTAACCCAGGAATAAGCCTCCATCTTTCACTAAAAGACCTAGCCCTTAAATGATTACTACTATATGCCAGCCATAAATTTCCAAGTGGAATACAAAAAGAGTGAGAGTACCCTCTTTTAATCCCCTCATCTGTTAACTCAAGCACTATAGCGCCAATAGACACTGACCCATTTGATAAAACTTTAGCATCCCTACCATAAACATTAACAATCTCTTTCATCTCATCTAAATTCAAAACTATATATTCTTCAAAAGATACAAGGTATAACCTAATCAACCAAGCAATAAAACTTAAAGGCAAAAAGGAGACAATAAACATAGAACTAACTTTATTAAAAATAAACAAATAAAAAAAAAACAAACTCAAAAATGGTAAAATAAAAAAAACACAAAACTTAAAAAGGCTAAAACAACCCTGCCTAAAGGTATCCTCCCCTAAAAACCAAACCAAACGCCTAGAAAACTTCAAATATAAACCCTTAAATAGTAACATAACTAAATAATCAAAACCTTTACTAGCCGAAGGAAAAACAAACCCCCTCATACTAAAAAGACCTGGTTTAAAATACCCCAAAATCTTTATCAAACCATATACAACCAAAATAAAAATCACAATAATAACATAATAATAATACTTATTATTATAGTCCGATGAAACTTCAGATATATAAACTGGTTGTATTTTAGATATATAAATTATTCCAATTATATACATCAAAAATTTAACTATAAATAAAATAATAGATAAAATCGGGGCTATCATGTTTTCATATAAGGCTTTTAACTCCATTAAATCTAACCTATTATACATAAATATAAATCTAATAGTAAAATAACTAAATCTAAATTTTGATCCACAACTGAATTAATCACTAACAACCCACACTAGTGTCTCACTAGCTGGAACATACACAAATAAAATATTTTTCATAAAAAAAAATTTTATAATTAAAACAAACTATAATATAAATACTTAAAAAACAAATCTCATTTAAAAAAATGAAATATAAATTATATTGTGTGGCCTAAAAGCAATATTAAGAGATAGGTAATATCTGAGCATGTGTGTGTGCGAAAGATACATCCATAAACTATCATAGTGGTATGCTACGATCAAAAGATCGGGAGCATTGGGCTTAGTAGGAATCGAACCCACGTAGTATCCATCATGAGTGGAACGTTTTACCACTAAACTATAAGCCCAATACCCACTATTGGACTCGAACCAATACTTCATAAACTGAAAACAGATTTTAAGTCTGTCGTGTCTGCCAGTTCCACCAAGCGGGCTATTTTTTGAATAACAACATAACTAATAATTTCCTAACAGGGCAAGATACGACAATCTCTTCAGGATTAGGAAATTCCTACGTTATAGCCTAAATAAATGCTATTATATTAGAAGCTTAAATCTGTTCGACACTAGATCGTAAAGGAATAGTAAAATAAATTAGACTGAATGGGGGTTATTTAACTTTATAAATAAGAGTTTATAGCTCAGTGGTAGAGCAGCGGACTTTTAATCCGTTGGTCGCAGGTTCGAGTCCTGTTAAACTCATTGAGGGTGTGGCTGAGCGGTTTAAAGCAATAGACTGTAAATCTATCCACGAATGTGAGCATGGGTTCGAATCCCATCGCCCTCAAATAGATAATATATTAATAATCTTCCAGATAATATAGCCATTATATATTATATTTTATGCCACAAGTAGATTTATTAACTTTTTTTAATCTTTCTTTTATGTTTTGTGTATTTTTTACAATTAGTTATAACATGATATATTCATATTGTGTTAATATGGAAAAAGTATCATTAGTTAGAGAAGTTTTATCTAATTCTAATAAAAATTAACTAAATTTAAGAACTAATATTAACAAAATATAAGGAGGAAACTCCATTGAGGAATAGCCAAGTGGTAAGGCAATGGATTTTGATTTCATGACGCATGGGTTCGAATCCCATTTTCTCAAACTAAAATTATGCGGGCTTAGCTCAGTTGGTAGAGCACCAGATTGTGATTCTGTTGGTCATGGGTTGTTCTCTACAAATCATGAGGATATAGATCTCAGCGGGTTATCTGGTGGTTTTCTCCTTTTTTCAACTCTTCCTTTTTTTTTATAATTAGGTAGTTATATCGTAGGCTTGGTTTATCTGCGATTTTTGGAGGAAACCATTTTTTATGGACTTTCTACATTAGGTCAGATCAGGCATTTCCTTATATTAATTTTTTTTTTTTATTGGGATAATATCGTTTCTATACATAAAATTATTTAACCCTGGATTTTTGAATTTTTTAAAATAACTCTATATTCCTACTGCGTATACAGGCTTTGATCTAATAACTTTGAGATATTTATCCGGGGCGCGTATAAAATTTTGTGAAAAGGTTGCTGACTATTTAACAGATCATTAATCTAGCATGCTCTTCTTAAGGGGGTTTATAATTTTTATACTTTATCTAGCCCCTATAATTAATATATCATTTTTTTTTATTTTTGTATTAGGAGAAATATCCTACTTCTATGTTAAAATAGCATTACCTTTAGCATTTCTATGTTGGGTCACTAGGCAGGTGCTGCTTCTCTTTCAAGATTATATTATTGGGTTTTTGTCTAGTCTATCTAGACTGATAACAGTTGAAATAAGGGACAATAAAGATGATATATTAATTATAGGGGATTTATATAAAAAGGATTTTGTTATTATTCTAAGCCCACAAGGAAAGGAGCTTGGTTTTTCCCAAACAGATATCCCACTTTTAACAAATAGCTATATTTAGGTGAGTAATATTGCTGCCTTTGTTTTTAATTTTGATAAACGTATGGTATATGTTAGTATTTTTATTCATTTTTATAGGGTTGGGGTATGGATTCTTGTATTATATAAAATAATAACAAAATGAGAATAAAACAATTACTGGGGGGGTTTTAATTCAGCTAAGGTATTAAACAGTAATATTTCTATTATTAATAAAAATAAACAAATAATCTACACCCCTCCATTCAATAAAGGCAAACTACTAACTAATCATCGCCTTCAAACATTACCAATTAATGAGGAGTATTGTATTGTCCTAGGACAATAGACATCAAATTTACCAATAAATCAATTAGGGATTAAGCTTGGTGCTATAAATATTGATGGAGAAAAAAAAAATCAATACATCGTGCTGCTATTAGCTTTTACTTGAGTAAAAGCTAGTCATTTGAAAATCTATGGGACTTCTAGTTCTAAAAATTTTAATAAACTACACGGGTCTAATATTTTAGATCTCTTTATAAACTATGCTATACCGATAATTGATTCAAAAAACTCTGAAATAACACCTGCAGAATTAACAGACTTAAACCCTGAAATAACAGACGAGGGAGAAATAGAATAGCCACTTACTATTAACAGGAAATACACCAATAGAATAAAAAAACATTAAAATAATTTTTTTAACATGTGTAAGGAACAAAAGTTTGTTTTCTCTAAAGTAAGTTGGTTCATTCCAAAATCTGATGTAGCAGAAAAATTATATATTACAGATTATATTCAAAAAAATGAACAAATGCTCTTGTATCATGTAAAGAATAGAGCTAGTGGTGGATTCCTATTTTCAATAAAAGACTTCTTAGATGAAATAGATTTAAATTTATTTCATCTAATTAAATGGAAACAATTTAAATTTTATTAGGGGATATACCTCCACAGATTTTATCTAATATCTACCTAACTTAGGTAAAATATTACTTATTTAGTTATTAATTGCTTTAATTTATCTTATTTCTGAAAGAAAGAGTATTGAAAGGATTAATTTATTAAGTCCTTTTTGTAAAATATATAAACTATATCAGAATTATTTGTTGTGTATTTACTTTAGTGGGGGGGGGGCTGTTTGTGTGTGGTTGTTATTAGGGTTTAGGGTTTTCTTGTTTTGTTTGTGTGGTGTTTGTGGTGGTTGTTTTTGTTTTTGTAATAATTTTTATAAAGATTATTTTATGACATTTGATACTCTTTTTACTGTTTTTTTTATTCTATTGGTGTTGTCTCTTCTTTTTTTAGGGGGTTCATCATATTTGAAGGCGATAGTTTTATTGGAGGTTTGTGTTTTATTGAATTTTATGTATTTATCTTTTCAGGTGTCGTTATTTGGTGATCTAGCTGGTTTATCGTTTTTATTTTATGTTTTAGCGGTGGCGGCTAGTGAGACATCGGTAGGTTTTGCGTTGTTGGTTGCTTATTACAAAAATGTTGGGTCTATTTCTTTTAGTCCTTTATCAAGAAATTAATGTTGTTGTTGTTGTTGTTGTTGCCTTTATTATCTGGTATTTTGACTTTATTGTTTGGGTTTTTTATAGGTAGAAATGGGGCGGTATTAATGACTGTTTTTAATATGTTTTTATTGGTGGTTTTATCATTTAAGTTATTTTTTGACGTGGGGGTTTTAGAGACTCCTATTTCTTTAGAAATTAGTGAGTGGTTTAGTTCGGGTTCATTGGTAGTTAATTGGTCTTTGCATGTGGATGCTTTGACTGTTACTATGTTGGTGGTTATTAATACTATTTCTTTTTTAGTTCATGCTTATTCTGTGTCTTATATGGAGAATGATCCTCATTTACAAAGGTTTATGGCTTATTTGTCATTGTTTACTTTTTTTATGATAGTTTTAGTTACAGCAGACAACTTAGTTCAATCATTTGTTGGTTGGGAAGGTGTGGGGGTTATAAGCTATCTATTGATTAATTTTTGGTTTACTAGGATAAATGCTAATAAGTCGGCTATTAAGGCATTGTTGATGAATAGGGTGGGTGACTTGGGTATTTGTTTGGCTATGTATAGCTGTTTTTATACATTTGAGACATTGGATTATTCTTCGATTATGTTGTTAGTGTCTCATTCATTAGAGGATTTTATAGTTTTATTGGGTTTTGAATATAATGCTATTACTATTATATCATTTTTTATTTTTTTAGGGGCAGTTGGTAAATCTGCTCAGATTGGCTTACATACATGGTTGCCGGATGCTATGGAGGGGCCTACTCCAGTGTCTGCACTTATTCATGCAGCTACTATGGTTACAGCAGGGGTGTTTATATTGATTAGGCTTTCAGGATTAATTGAGTATTCTACAGCTGCATTAACGTTTATTACTATTGTGGGTGCAATAACATGTTTTTTTGCTGCATCTACTGCATTGGTTCAAAATGATATGAAGCGTATTATTGCCTTTTCTACATGTAGTCAATTAGGGTATATGGTTTTTGCATGTGGATTGTCTGGTTATACTGTTAGTTTGTTCCATTTAGCTAACCATGCTATATTTAAAGCATTGTTGTTCTTAGCAGCAGGGGTTGTTATCCATGCGATAAATGATGAGCAAGATATAAGAAGAATGGGGGGGTTAATAAACCATTTACCATTTACTTATTCATTAACATTGATAGGTTCATTAGCATTAATAGGTTTTCCTTATTTAACTGGGTATTATTCAAAAGATGTAATAGTTGAGTTAACTATAGCAAAACAATCAACTCATGGATACTTTGCTTTATGGCTGGGGTCTATAACAGCTTTATTTACAGCATATTATTCTACAAGGTTATTATTTTATACTTTCTTAAATTATCCAAATAATTCTAAAAAAGTATTTAAAATAGCTCATGAAGGTTCATATCTAATGCTAATCCCATTATTTATATTAGGTATAGGAAGTATATACTCTGGATTCATTACAAAAGAAATATTCTTAGGATGGGGATCTACATTTTGGAACAATTCTATATTTATTCATCCAGAAAACTATATTATAATAGACACACTATTCCTACCAGACTATATGAAACTAATACCTGTATTTGCATCTTTCATAGGAATATACCTATTCATAAACATACAAATACTATACACAACACCATTTATTAAGAGCAATAAACTTATGAAAGAAATACACAAATTCCTAAGCAATAAATGGTACTTTGACAAAATATACAACACAATAACAAAAACAATAACAAACATAGCATACAACATCACATACAACACAATAGACACAGGATACATAAACTCTATAACACTAGGAGCCATATACAAACACACCACAAACATAAACAAAACACAAAACAATACAAGCAAAAACCCACTAAACACACTAATCACAACAATATTCATAACAACAACACTAATCCTAACACTCTTTCTAATCAACTAAAAAAAAAAAATGATAGTATCAAGACTAAACTATACTTCTTTTTCTTTAGTTAATACACCTAGCATAGAACACAGTGTATTCTTATACTCTGCTATTCTAGCTATGACTCTTTCTCTAGTAATATATACTGCTGGATACTGTGTAACAAATAACCACAGAACAGACCTAAACAAAATAAGTGCTTATGAGTGTGGATACAGTCCAAACTCTCACGAATCAAACCAATACAATGCAAACTTCATAATAATATGTCTATTATTCCTACTAATAGACCTAGAAATACTATTCCTAGTACCATTCCTATACACTGTTGACTCCATAGACACTACCACATGGAATATCTTCATATACTGTATGTGCACTATCATAGGAGGAATAATATTCGAACTACTAACAAGCTCGTTCGGAAAACTAGGTAAAATCATCAAACAAAACAAATAAAGAGTTTATAGCTCAACGGCTAGAGCAAGTATATACACCTGATATGGGTTCGAATCCCATTAAACTCCATAAGAAATAAATATTATAAACACATTGGGGATTTACAGTATGTAAAGTAATTTATCTGTACTATTTATATAACAAGATAGTACATACTCTACCTGAATTTTATGGCTAAATCCTTGTTGTATTTTAAATTTAGTTTTTGTGATAAAAACATAAATTAATTTAATTATATAGTAGACACAACAGTCGTGTATATTATGGGATTTTTAATATAAACTATTAAAATACCCATAGATCTATATAGCCCTATACAACAATATTATATAGGGCTAACTCTAACAATACATAAATAATGTAGTGTTTATCTAGAATATATTCATGTGTTAAATCTTATATAAATATATAATAAATATATTATACCTAATCTAACCTGAAGAGGAATAAATAATATTATAAAATAAAATAAAAATAATTTTTATTTTATAAATGTGTATTTTATAATACTAATACATTAATAAAACAATATAGAACCAGACATGTAAGTGTCAACCCCATATAATAAAAATAATAAGTTCTTAGGTTAGATTTAGTATGCTATAGACTAACTATCAAAACTACATAAATATTTATATTCATTAGGTAGATAAAAAACTTATTGATCTAGTACATAATACTTATACTAAATATAAATATAATATTATATTTATATTTAAATACACTTATTCAGGGTACATCCTAACTATGATTAGATAAGGTATAAGTTTCTAAACGATGGTCTGTCAGTACCTTCCCTTTATTAAATTCTAAATAAAATAGATATAACTAAAAAAAGTATATAATATACAATACATTATAAATAATTCTATTAAATTAATAAATGTATTGGGGACTGCTAAATAACCCAAATTATTAAAACATATAATATCTAACTCTAAAATATAAAGCCTTAAAATATGAATAAGCACCCCAATACATCCTATAGCTAAAATATTATACTATAATATTAATAGCATATATTCTAAGTCTTATTTTGCGGGATAATTAATAAACAGAAATTATTTTGGACTGAAAAAAAAACTAGGGGCCTAGTTTTTTTAATATAAACTAATTTTAAACAGGTTCCTATTAAAACATATTGGTAATAACTAATAATAGGTGCTGGTTCTAATATGTTTTAATAATTTTAGGTTTATTAAATAAAAACAATATTGTTTAAATATTGTTTGTACCTTATATTTTAAAGATATATATATTATACCAATAATGTAGGCTGAATTAGCATATTTAAATAGAATTATAAACCCCCTACTTTTAAAATGTCCTATCAAGCTTCTCTAAATACACAGCTATTATTTCTATCTAGAGAGTTATATTCTAGATTATAACCCACTAGTTTTAGCCAGTACAGCCTTGGACAAATACATCAACCCTTCTTCACTATAAGCCTATACTATAGGAGCATTGTGTTAGAGGAAATACACTTAATAAATTGAGTTCACTAACATATTGGTGACTGCAAGCCATGATTTTATATAAGAAAGTCTTCACATATAATTCATTCATAAGTAAAGAGCTCTAACTCTAGTAGGTTCTAACTATTAGATAGTAAGAACTAACACAGTTAGCCTCACACCTACTACCAAACACTATTTTGATTAAGAACTTAATCACTAATTTAAAATTAACATTAGAATTACATAATAAACCTAAAGACATTATAATACAGATAAATTAATCAAAATTACAATAATATAAACTAGTCTAAACCTACGCACTAAAAATAAAATTATAAATGTTTTTATATTAATAGTGTAAAACTAAGATTATACCCATTAGCTATTGTAATGCTATATCTTCCTAGTAGACCTGTGCTATATCTAAAACAATATAAATATAACCCAAACAATATCTACTAGGAAAATACTACTATATAAATAACTGCAAGTAGTGTATACACACCTATCAACTCAATTATAATTTAGCCAGAGTCTTAACAGAGCTTAGTTCACGATTATTTCCTAAAATAATATCCAATAAATACATTTTCTAAGAAATAGCTTAACTAAAATAAAACAATGATACAGAGCTAGAATTAACCCTTGTAATTCATAAGTCTATAACCATAGATTTATGAATCTAACGAGATACACACTGGAAAATCATAAGGGTATTATGACTCATATAATATTAGCACTAAAAATGATATAAATACTACAAAAACTATAGCTCTCAACCCCACCCATAACACCATTACTTTAACAAGAAAAATAAACTGCTATAAAATTAAGACAGAACAAAATACTGTATATAGCCACATATAGATGTCCTGTACTATTCAATTCGTATAATATCTTTTTAATTAAAACCATAATACTAACTAAAGTAACTACACAACAAAGAATTAGTTTACAGGCAAGGGGATTCGAACCCATTCACAGGTAAACCTGCTCTTTCCTAGACCTGAAAAAAAAAAAATTATTAAATGTTTTTTATTTAATAAATAAAAAATCTATCAGGGATTTTTTTTATGGTATCGTCTTTGTTTATATTTAATATTTGTTATTGTTTTGGTTGATAATGTTGTTTGTCCATGTAGTGTAGTTGTATTGGTGTGTTGTTTTGTTTGTTATGTTGTGTTGTAGTATGCTTCCTATTGTTGGGTTTGTTTGCCTGTTGTGGTTGTTAATGTTTGGGTTTGTTGTGTGGTTTGCTTGTAATGGAGTTAATGTTTCTCTGAGTTCATTTGGTGTGTTGTTTTGTGTTGTTTCTTGAGTGATTCCTATAGTTTTTAAATAGCTTATCCAATTTTGGTGGATGTTGTTTTGTGTTGCTTCTATTGCTAATTTTGTTAGTTCTTTGTTTGGAGTTTTTGGGTGGGCTTTTGCGTAGTTTTCTTTAACTGTTTTTGCAAATTCTTTATATTCACTCTCTGACATTAAGTTTAATGCTCGGGCAGTGCTGTTGTAGAATTGAGTGTAAGAGTGGGAGTTTGATAGGGCTGTGCAATGTAATGATTGTGAGTTGTGAAAGAATTCTACTGCTTTGTCTTCTGAATAAGTTTCGGCGTATTCTTTGAATTCTTCAGAATAAGTTGTGTCTAGTTTATTGTCTAATTTATCTAGCCATTCTATAATTTCACTGGCTTTTAATAGTCCTGCTGTTTTATATGAATTCATATGAGAGTTCATATAAATATAGTGTATTCCTTTATAAGTATCGAATCTAGTAGGAGATCCCTCAGATACTAATGTTTTATTTAAGATATAGGCTTTTTTTAAGTCTTCTGCTTGAGAGTTAAATAATAGTTGGAATAAAGATCCTTTACTCATTATGAATGAGTCGATTAATGGTCTTATTAAATAAGGCTTAGAAATCTTTGTAGGGATTGTTTCAGGGAGTTTTTCTGTGATTATTACACTTGATATTTCACCCCAGTATCCCATATCAAAAAGGATTAGGTTAACAGTAGAAAGAAGCATATTATACAAATTAGATAGCATTTTTTTTTTTTTTCACGTCATCATTTTTTGTAAAGCATTTTTTAGTGTTAGTTGCTTTTTCTAACATTTTAGTAGGGTGTATTCCTTCTGGTATAATTTTAACCTTAATGTTTTTTTTGATGTTGGCAATTCTATTTAATTTTTTTATGTTTAATTCTTTTGTGTTTGGTGTAGTTTTAGCTAGTTTAGGGCTTATGTTCTCTTCTTTATGGTTTTTGATAAAGAAGTTTACTAGTCTTACTCTTAGTCTTTTCATTTGTAATATTCTATTTTTTAGAGCTACTGTTCTTTTTCTAGATTTTGTAGTATAGAATTCCATGCGATTTTTTCTAGAATATATTGTTAAATGTTTAGTTTGTACATTCCTAAAATGATTTAATGATACAAGTAGTTTTTTAGGGAGTCCATCTACTCCGTTTAAGTTTTTAATGTGTTGTAATATTAAGTTTTTATAGACTGAAAGTTTTCTTGAGCCCAACATTAAAAAATGTTTTTTAGATTGTCTTCCCATTCTAATGTTTATGTATTTACTTATTGGTAATGATTCAGATGTTAGGTACATATAGTATTCATATGGGCTAACACCATCATTCTCTCTTGATAATATATATACTTGATTTAAAGCATTATGCATTTTTTGACTTTTACCATTTTTTATAAAACCTTTTCTTATTTTTTCTGTTACAAAATTATCTTGGTAATCTAAGTGTTTATAACCTGCTCCTAAGTTTATTTTTTTAGGGGAGTGACTATAAGATTTATGATTATAATTATATATTATATTATTCATATAATATGAAATATAATTAATTTACAAACTATATCTGGGTACTTAATAAATCAATATTTAAAACATGTTGAGACTATTTCCTCATCTATTTCTTTAAGAAGTAGACAGAGCTTATATATCTCAATGGCTTTTTTTATCTCTACTATACTGGGAGTATAGTCCATTAACACCTGCCTAGTTTTTAAACATTTTTTTAAATAATCTATTAATAAAATAATATTTTCATTCTCTATCTCTTGATAAATATTATTAAATAGCATAATGTTTAACTTTCCTTCAGCTAATAACTTAATTAATTCTGACGTAAAACAACTATCAGGCTTTGTTAATTTAAACCATCTTAAATGTTCTAATGATTTGTTGTGTGTTTTATATTTAATTCTATGTATCTTTTTTTCTAGATTAGATGAATCTAAGTTACTATTTACTAAAAAAGTCCTTAACTCATCTTTAGTAAAGTCTAATTCAGGAAATAACAAGTTTAAAGTGTCTTTAATAAATTCTGTATTATTATACTTATATAATTCTGTTTTTACTCTCCTTGTATAAAGAGAGTTTAAGTCTTTAGATAAAACTACATTATTATATGTATTACAATTAATATAATTTTTCATTATATTAAATAAGAAATCCCTTCCTCTAAAAGAACCCTGCTCATAAAAAGGCTCCCCCCTTTTAGATAAAGGTTTTATCGCCCCCTTTTTAAAAAAGAATTTTGTCCTATTAGTATATTTTGTTAATCCTATTCTTTTGTTTTGTCTCAATATTCTTTTCTTTACTCTATGGGCTATAACCCTTTTATAATGATAAGTAAATAAACAATTGGCATATTTATGGACCATTCCAAAGATAGATTTTCTTAACCTAGGTTTATTTTTAGTTAAGAAAAATTTATTACATCTTTTTCTAAGCCTCAATAGACGATATGGTTTATATCTTAATATCCTAACGTTTTTAATCTTTAATTTAATTCTTCTTTCTATTTTTAAGTTAGCTAAATCTTGTTTATCTTGGATCTTTTGTCTAGCTGCATACTTAAAAGAAAATTTCCTTTCAACTTTTTGAAATAAAAATCCTCTAAAATGGCCTATCCTAGCCATAGTTGAAAATGTGTTAGGATCCATTATATTAAAAGTATTAAAAAACCTGGATGTTAATCTAACATCCACTGCATTTCTTGCTAGACTATAAATAAGGCGCTTGTCCTCTAAAAAATATGGCCATTTAATATTTTTATTATTAATTTTATTATAATCTTTTAACTCTGAGAAAGAGTTAAAATAATATAATTTAGATTTACCCTCTTTTTTAATATATATAGGATCAGGAAAAATATCTGGGTTATTTAATAAAAAATTATTAAATGATTTAGAACTTTTAGTTTTTAAATTATACTTATAACGACCTACAACATATTTAAATATAGCTAATCGTGACCTCCTCCACTTAAATTTATACTTAGATCTAATAGTTAACTTATCTTGTTTATACTTTAAAATATAAAAAGTGTTAAAAGAGCCATGAATTAAACGCTCTAATCTATAAAATAAAACTTTATCTTTTAAATTAGCCCTATTACTAATAATTTTAAAATATTTATTAATAGCCAACCTTATAAAATGAAATAAGCCCCTATTCAACTCAGTAAACGTATTCAACCCACCAAATTTATAATTCTTTGAATACACTTCACTAAACTCAGATTTCTTATAAGAATTATACCCAGAAATCTTTAAAAATAACTCCCTCTCATACCTCTTATACTTAATAAAAGCATGAGAAGAACCCTTACGCTCATAAAAATACCTATAATTATAAAAAAAAAAAGGATCTCTAACACCAACATACTTCAACCTCCCATATTTTTTTAAATCATATAACATCAAAAACCTCCTCTTATTAAAAAAATTACGCCTCCTTAAAAAAAAAGGAAGCCTCCTAAATTGACCCAAAACATCTTTAGATTCACACTTCAAATTCACCAACCTACCCCTCTTATTAAAAACCCTATAAAACTTAATAGAATTAGGCAAAGAAACATGAACCCTCCTAAACTCCAACTGAGACAAATCATCAATAACACCAGAAACCGATAAAACCGGCAAACCAACCCCACCAGCTGCCAACAAATCCAATACAGCCCCCTTCAAAAACAACAACTCCAAATCATTAAAATCCAACAAATAAACAGACCTAATACCGTCCAAATTCAAATACTCTCCTCTCACAAATAAAATATTTTTCATAAAAAAAAATTTTATAA